TCCCAAATATGCAAACCTTCCTGGAACTTCCACGTTCTTTTCCCATGTTATTATTGTATTTGGAGTTGCCCTACAATTGTGCCATCATGTTATCGTCCTTTAATCCTTCTAGAGCCCCAACGTTCTGAACATGCCAACAATCGTGTGATCGTACTTTGATTTGCACAACTCCCTCTGTCTGAGCAAATGGCCACCACTCTTATTTCTCGGATGGTGGTAGTAGTGGCCCCAAACATGCAATTGTGCCATTCTTGATTTTTTAGAACCTCCATATTTTTAGGAACTCCAATCTTCCCACGTTTAATAAACACGTTCCTTTGACCAAACGTGGCTTCAATTGAATTCAACTGCCAATCTTCTTTATGGGCTTCTTTGAGTCAAACTCTACTTCACAAGCCTTCATAAAATTAAAGTAGTTTAATATATCCAAACCACTTCTAACTGGATTTTACTGAGACCATTCCTTGTGCAAAACTCTCACCCATCATAAAACCGGCTTGACCCAAATTCTTCCACGTGTGTATTTTCCATTGAGTGAAAATAAGGGTATAAACATTGCCCTCCTAAATTCTTTGCCTTTGATTGCACAAAAAAGGCATGGAATTTAAATAGATCACTTACTTCTTTTGGCAGACGAATTGCTGGACCCACCAAATCTTTCCTTTAAAAGAAATTGATTCATTTTGCTTTAGAGAAAACAAACTGAACCATCCCTTAGGAAAATCAAATATTTTGAATCGGCATGTTATCCCTATCATTAAATGGACTCACTCAATCCATTTTTGAAAAGAAACTAACCCCTTATAAATTGGAAAGGCAACCTACCTGTCGTCCAATCTTGAACCAATTTTCCAGGTATCATAAATGAGAGGACCTACCAAATCTTTCTTCATTAACGAAAAGAATAATTACTAGGTCTTGAAAAGGCAAGCTAGCTGCCTCTTGTACCTATCCAATTAAAGACTCCATAACTATTCACCTTCCTCAGCTGTTTAGATCTCCTCGGGATGACTCATCTTTAAATTTCTTGAACAACCCTTATATCTCTCTTACGTATCCATCCCAACTATAAATACATATCTAGTTTCCTTTCATATTCAGAAAAAACTCTTTCCCTCAACTTCAAATTGAGCGAACAAACCCTAGATATTTCCGTGATGGCTCCAAAACAAAAACGGCACACAGCCATAGCCACCAAGTCCAAAAAATCCTTAAGTTAGTACCTGAATCAGAGATTACCTTTGATTTTTTCCATCATATTGGCCCCTTGAATGGACTAGGGCCTACTCTCTTGAATGAATTTCCTCCATCTTTATCTGAGTTTTACCCTGCGGCAGAGGATGATCTTCCATTCAATTGGGAGTACCCGTTGATCCTTGTGAAAGAAAAAAAGGTAAAGCCCACTATTTCTCTCAAGAACTGGCCAAGATGTCGTCCATTATGGAAGTCATGGGTCAATCGCCTCTCTGGTGATGACAAGATTGCCTCCACTTGGAAAAGGCAAGGCATTTTCGATGCCATACAATTGAGCAAGGTATCAATGATTCAGGACAAGAACCTATTTTTCCCTGCTGTCTTCTTCTGGTTTAACGTGACCAACTCTTTACATCTCCAGAATGGAATAATGTCTGTCACAATGAGGGACATTTGCTGTATAACTGGTTTGAAGCCTCATGGAGACGACATCAGCGCCTTTCTACATGTAGAATCTTTCAGTTTTCCCTCATCTGACGACGGAAACAAGAAATTCTATTCTTCTCCTGTACCTTTCATGGAATTCCACAATAAAAAGACAGGGCCCGTTGCATTGAAAGAGCTTACTGCATTTTTGATTTGCTGGCTCTCTGTACACCTATTATGTGTTCCCTTTGGACAAGTCACCAAGGATTTTGTCCAGATTGCTGTTGCTCTTGCCGAAGGTGCAGACTTAGCCCTTGCTCCTCTGGTTCTTTCTCACTTGTACCAAGGTATGAATGATCTCCTAGAGTTTAATTTCACTCATTTTGGTGGTCCATTATGGATTTTCCAGGTGTGGCTAAAAATATATTTTCCAAGCTTGACCACTCCTATTTCTGTTCAACCTGAAAAACCTTTGCTAACTTATAGCTTTGTTGAAAGCCGGCCCACCCCTTTCTCTTTTACAGAAGTATTTCATTTCTTTTATGACCACAATGACTTCAAACCAAACTCATCTTTAGATCCCTTTTCCAATTATGGACTGATGCCTTCCCGGCTTGTACCCTCCCCCAGAGTTTCAACCAAAAAGTCTTCTGACAATTGGAAGAAAATTTAGGTAAACTTTTTAATCTGCCGTGATTTACACTATGGAACCTCCACTCCTACTTCAAAGAATAGTCATTGTGGAGTTAAGTATTACAATCCAGCTCAGTTGGCTAGACAATTTGGCTTAACACAACTCATTCCTTTGCCCCCTTTTGAATCGACCAATAGACTCTTTAATACAAGAGTCAGTTTTACCGATAATGAGCAATTCTAGGTAGTGGATGAAAAGTATGCCTTGAAAAAAAACTCTTTTGAATTCAAAGGTTTTAACAGTTACCCAGAAGTAACCCAAGAGTTCATCGATTGGTGCACTACTTATGTTAACTCAACCAGAAAATTGGCTTAAGTGGAAGTTTGCAATAGGCTTTTGAACTTCTTTAAGCCTATTACACCAAGCCGTGAAGAAACATTCTCTGATGGTAAGCTTTCATACTTTGAATTTTCCCAAACTAGTCACATATAATCTGTTAATAAAAATCTTCGTTCTTTTGACAGACAATGATGATGATGATGCCGATGGAAAGGACAAGAATCCTACTGGCAAGAAAGGAAAAATTGAATTGCTTGCAGAGGTTAAAGGTATTGAAGGAGGTGGGGATAGTAATCCATAAGGCTCTGGGGTTGACAAGCCTCTAGGTAGTGACAAAGATGTGGCCCTTATAAAAGTTAAGAAAGAGAAATTTCAAGAAGATGAGCTCTATAAAACAAAAGGGAAAAAGAAAGCTGCTTCTTCTTCTCAGGTATCATCAATACCTTCTAGTTGGTAAGACCTCCTTTTTAATCCCTTTCTTAATAACCTCTAGTATACTTTTCCATTTGACAGACTCTATCCATTGCCAAGAAAAAATACATACCTCCTATCACTTTGTCAAGTGAGGATGACTCCTCTACCGCCTTTGAAAAGAGTACCTCAAAAAAGATCTCTTCAGTAAAAACTTCTACTAAGTCAATGAGACATACTAGTCCACTTGACCGAGATCGTCCCCTGAAAAATAAGAGGAAACTCTTTGTGGACCCTGAACCGGATGAAGAATCTAACTTCTTTCAACTAACTCCAGAAACAAAGAAATCTAAGAAAGAAATCAACTTAGTGAGTTAGTCATTACTGCCCTTTCTTTAACTTGCTCTTGACTAACCATTATTCTTTCTTCAGGGACCTTCCACAGGCCACAATATGTTAAACATTGCTTTGGAATGTGTTCCATTAGAAGAGCAAGACTTGGATCTTCAAAAGTCTATTGCTGCAAGTTTAATTCCTCCAATCAGTTTAGATAACACTATCATGCCTGCTTCCATTGATCCAATTATGATTATCCCTCCTTTGAAAGTTTTAGCTGGACCTACTCCTTCCCTTCCAGAGGTAATCCCTTTCCTCTTAAATTTCAATAACATTTCTTAAATTGAAGCTAAACTATTTTCTTTTTATGATGTAGACAACTCATTCAATGTCTACCTCTACCTCCTTCACGGTAAAGAGAAGGGCACTCCCAGCTTTGGATGACTTGTATAAAGTAGCTAAGGCCTCGAAATCCTCAAGTACTTCCACCTCTAGTGCTAGTATTCCTGTTGCTCCTTGTCCAACTAAAGAGGCCTTGAGAGTTGCCAAAGATCAGTTGTTCCAATACCTTGAGAAGAATGTCGAAGATATTCCTTCATTTCAACAAAACTTGATCACTGTCTTGTCTACATTGAAGAAAAATCCAGACCTTTCTCTAGAAATTAAACTCTCTTTAGGCCAATTGCAACACCAGCTACCTTTCATGGCGACAAATATCAATTCTTTGGCAACGGCCACTGGTGAACCCAATCAGAAAATTCAATTGAAGGATAAGGCTTCTGAAGATCTCAATAACAGCCTCCTTCTTTATCCAGAGATCAAAACCAAGTTTGAGCAAATGACTGATAAAAAAGAGAGTCTTACTGCGGAGATGGAAAAAATTCAAAAGGAATTGGAGAGACTTGAGACTGAAGAGGCTGAATTGGAACAGATTGCTCAAGCAATCTTTGCTGAATCAAGAAAGTATAGGAAAAGCTGGGAGGATCTTGCTGAAGAAATTCATTTTCTAGAAGAAGTGAAAAACAAAGCTGAGGAAGAAGCAGGTCAATCCAAACTTCTTTGGGAAAGCTTCAAAGGCAAGTTTGCCTCTTTATGATGATGTAGTTCTTTGTTGGCTTCTTGGACACTTTCTTTTGATGTAATAATCATAGGTGTTTTAGGTCCAGACACCTTTCTTTTGAATGGCATGCAATAGAACTTTTTCATATATTGAAATGCCACTTTTTAGTTTCATCCTATATCTTCGTGCTTTCACACCACACTTTATTTAATTGAAATGGAATGCATAAGAGATAAAAGGCAAGATTGAAAATAACTTAAGAACCATGAGTTGATTCCAAATAAAAATATGAAAATAACCAAAATACCTCTTGCCGGAAATACTTGGTTCTTTTATTCATTGGAAAATCCTATGAAAATTCAAAATTGCCAAGGCCAGTGAAACGGCCATTGGAAAAAATTTTAGGCGTTTCCATATGAAAATCCTATTTCCTTTCCAAATGCCAATTCTCTTTTGGAAGGCTTGACCAACCGTTCATTCGGCTGGTCTTAGTATCCTTTTCTCCCAGGCTTCAAAGATTGAGGGGTGATACTGTTTCAAGTATACCCCATTGATAGGAGATAAATGAAACTTGCCATTTATATCCATCAACTGATAAACTCATTTTCCTAGAATCCTTTCAACTAAGAAAGGTCCTTCCCATTTTGGAGTCCACTTGCCAAACTCTCTATCTCTAGTCCTGAGTGGCAATTTGACTTTCCAAACCATGTCTCCTTCTAGTAAAGACTTAGCCTTTACCTTTTTGTTGTAAGCTCTCATCACCTTCTTCTTCTGTGCAATAACATGGTCTAAAGCACTTAACCGAACTTCATTAAGGTCTTCAAGCTCTGTTAGCATGGCTTGAGTATATTCAGCTAGGGTTAACTCATTTTGGAAAGCTACTCTTGCTGACTTCACTGTCATTTCCATTGGAAGTACTGTATCGTGTCCATACGTTAACATATAAGGAGTAACTCCAGTACTTGTTCTTTTTGAATTCCTATAAGCCCATAGTTCTTTTGACAAAAGATTATGCCACTGCTGTGGATACTTCTCAATCATCTTCTCAATTATGCCAATGATGACCTTGTTAGATGCCTCTGCTTGTCCATTTACTTGAGCAAAGTATGGAGTAGAGCTTGTGAACTGGTTATTATATATGTCGAATAGATCTTGCACCATACTTCCTAGAAAGGAAAGACTTTTATCTGTGGCGATGATTTCCGGAATTCCAAACCGATGGATGATATGCTTCTCAATGAAATCCATCACTGTTGATTGTACACATGATTTCAAAGGAATGGCTTCCACCCATTTCGTGAAATAGTCTGTGGCCACTACTATATGAGTATGGTCATCAACAGAAGGAGGTGTGATTTTCCCAATGAAATCTAACGCCCAACCTCTAAATGGCTATATCTTCACCACAAGCTGCATGTTAATGGCTGGCACTCTTTGAATAGGACCATACTTTTGACAAGCTTGACAACTTTTGGCAAAGTCATTACAGTCTTTTAAAATGCCTCTCCAATGATATCCATACCTTCTTAGTAGCCATCTCATCTTTATTCCAGCTTGATGGGCTCCACATAGCCCATTATGAACTTCCCCCATGGCTTGAGTTGATTCCAGTTTGTGCAAACACCTAAGGAGAAGACAATCTTCTTTGCTTTTCTTGTACAATTCTCCATCCATTAGAATGTAATGAGGAGCTACAAGCTGAATTTTCTTATTCACATCTGTACTTGGATTCATCAGGAACTTAATGATAGGAATTCTCCAATCATCTGGATCTGCCTCCTCCAAGTTAACATAATTAACTTCCAAATGTTCATTCCTCATTTCTACAGATGGAAGTGGTCTTCTTTTTATTGATTTTATGGTTTCTTCTATTCTAGGTGGAACTCTTATACTGGATGCTACCTGGGCTAGTCCGTCTGCCTCTTTATTCAGGTGTCTTGGCCAATGCTGTAACTGATAATCATCAAATTGATCTAGTAATTGTAAGGCTAAGAAATGGAAAGGCCTCAGATAATGACTAAGGCATCTGTATTCATCAACCAATTGGTTGATCACGAGCTTGGAATCTCCAATGATGAGTACACTTCTGGCTTTCATTTCTAGTAGAATTTCCAAACCAATTATGAGTGACTCATACTCAGCTTGGTTATTAGTACATAAATAATCCAAAAAGAAAGAAAATGATGTCTTCCTTTTCCTTGGAGAAATTATGACAATTCCAGCTCCCCCTCTATCGCTAATACATGAACCATCAAAGAGTAATGTCCATGAAGAATGTTCGAAGTAGAGACTATCCACCTCGTCACACATTTTTGTTGCTATTTCAGTGGAAGGATGATCAGCCAAAAATTCTGCTAGAGCACGTCCCTTGACTACTTTCTATGGAATGTACTTAAAACTAAAATCCATTAAGGCCAATGACTATTTTCCAATCCTTCCAGTAATCAAAGGCCTCGATAACATGTACTTAATCAAATCAGTTTGAGAAACAATGTACACAACAACCAGAAGCATGTATATTCTTAATTTCATCACAGAATAATACAAAGCAAGATATAACTTTTTAATTGGAGTGTACCTACATTCCACTGGAGTGAGTACTCGACTAAGAAAGTAGATAGCTTGTTTCTTTCCCTACTCATTATTTTGTGCCAATAGAGCCCCAATGGACTCCTCAGCGGCCGATAAGTATAACCTTAAAGGCTGCTTCTTTATTGGTGGTATCATTACAGGTGGATTGACCAGGTATCTTTTAAGTTCTTCAAAAGCTTCTTGATGCTGGTTAGTCCATTGGAAATCTTTTGTTTCTTTTAACTTCAGAATAGATGAAAAAACATGGGTTTTTCCAGCATGGTTGGGAATTAATCTGCAAAGAAAACCTACTTGCCCTAGGAACCTCTGAAGCTCTTTTTTACTCTGAGGAGGTTGTGCTTCCATAATGGCCTTAGCCTTGTTGTTATCAATCTCTATTCCTCTCTGGTGAACCAGAAAGCCTAAGAAATTTCCAGCTGAAACTCCAAAAGTGCATTTCAACGGATTCATCTTTAACTTGTGCATCCTCATCCTTCTGAAGGCCATCTCTAAGTTGATCAAGTGTTGAGGCTTTTCTGATGACTTGATGACTACGTCATCAATATAAACCTCCATAAACCTAGCAATCATATCATGGAAAATCGCATTCATCGCCCTTTGGTAGGTAACTCTTGCATTCTTAAGGCCGAATGGCATAACCACCTATTCAAATGTCCCAATAGAGCCTGGACATCTGAATGCCGGTTTTGAAATATGTTCTTCAGCAATATAAATCTGATTGTAACCGGAATGGCTGTCCATGAATGATAGAATTCCATTCTTTGCTGCTGCATCCACCAATTGGTCTGTTACGGGCATCGGATACTCATCCTTTGGAGTTGCAAAGTTAATATTTCAAAAATCTATGCATACTCTTAGCTTGCCATTCTTCTTGATGACTGGCACTATATTTGAAAGCCATTCCACATACCTGGTAGTTCTGATGAAGCCTACCTTCAAAAGCCTTTCAATTTCTTCTTTGACTTTCAGAATATTTTCCTCTGACATCCTTTTAGGAGGTTGTTTGAAAGGCCGGTACCCTTCCTTAATTGGTAGCTTATGCTCCACCAATTTTTTAGAAAGACCAGGAAACTCATCATATGTCTAAGTAAAGCAATCTTTAAATTCTTTCAAGAGAGAAATCAATTCTTCTTGAAAATTAGGTTCCAACAACCCACTTATATAAGTTGGCTGTGGATCCTCCTCTGTCCCCAAATTAATTTCTAGCAGTGGATCCTGAACCTCAGCCTTTAAATCATCAAGCTTTGCTGGAGCAGACTTCAAGTCTGCTAGTTGAATTATATCCAGTTTCCCTTCTGGATCTTTTGTGGTTTCTACCAAGTTACTCGAAAGTATCTTGGCACATCTTCTGCTTCGTTCTAGCCGTAATTCTGCTAAATACGCTTTTAACCTTGCCAGGCAACAATTCACAGCCTGGCTTCTTGCCCTCTCTTTCTTGTGAACCTTTTCCATTAAAACTATTCAAAGTGTAAGGCGTTGGACGTCGGCCTGTGAGAGGATTACTGGCCTTGACATCTCCAGGAACAACTCCTTAGCCTTTTCTTCCATAAGAGTTTTTCGCATTGTTGCCGACTTGGGTCGGCCCTTAATATCTTTTCCAATGAACCTTACTGGCACGAACTTTTCATTGTAAAGCTCAGCATCTGCATGATACACTCTAGGAATGAATGGTTTATTATCCGCCTCTACAATCTTAACTTCATCACCATCCCAAAAAATTAGCATTTGATGCAACGTGGATGGAATGCAAAAATTGGGATGTCTCTATTCGCGGCCTAATAATAAATTATAGGCCGCTGTGGATTCCACAATAAAAAATGCTGTCATGGTTATAACATCTCCAACAGTTAATTCTAATGGAAGAATCCCCTGTGTTTCCACTGAACCTCCAGTAAAACCGCTGATAGCCACATCTCTAAGAATTACATCCTCTGTTATCTTGCCCAATTTCCTCATAACATTAATGGGAATAATATTCAGGACTGAACCGTTGTCTACCAAGACTCTTGAAAGTGGACGACCCTCAATTAATACCTTTATGTAAAGTGGCTTCAACTGCTGAGTCATTCCAACAGAGGGTTTCTCCAAAACTACTTTCTTTGGAGTTGGAAATACATCATCTTGAATTTCAATTTCACAAGGCTCTTGGAAAGCCTCGGCTTCTTCTTCTGGAAATTCCTCTATAATTTCTTCTATGTGTATGTCGTCAATCCTTTTCTCTGAAACTAAATCTAATTCAGTAACTTCCGTTTCCTCTGGACTTGACCCATCGTCAACAACATCACCTATCATTGAAGATGGCTGATTTGGTTTGGATTCGAAAACCAACGGAATGATAACAACCATATTACATGACATTTCCTCTGGAAAGCTCCCAAAACGGATTTTCTTTAAATTGGATGAGTTCTCAGAACTCTCCAATTCTCTTATTGGGATTTCTTCCTGAGCCTTATCCTTCTCCACAAGTGACTATTCTAGCTCAGAAGCAAAGTCTTCTAAACAGTCTAGGACTCTATCTCTTCCCCTTGCCAATTTCTCGGTCAGGTCTGTAGGTTTTCTTTCTTCAGTTGTTGCTTTCCAACTGTGATCCTCCTCCCATAGCTTTCTTCCCTCGGCTCTTCTCCTTTGGAAACGACGCTTCTGTGTTCGCGTATAAGCTGCATCCTTGTACTTAGGAAACTTAGGATGGTCTACCCTCTTCCATCTTTCTGAATAAGGAATTGGGGGCTTGACCATCCTTGGATTGAAAGTCTTAGTTTCTCTTTTTACCTAGACCTCTGAAGCGACTCTGGACTTTCCATGAGAAACATTAACGAACTCCTCATTTTTCCTGATAGGCCTTTCCACCATTCCTTTATGAAATTCGGAATCTCTTCTTCTTGGTGGAAGAATACTTCTTTTCTCACAAGCCCTTGCTTCCAAGCTTCTTGGCCGTAACCTAGAACTTTCTGCATATTCAGGCCTTTTCTGATTGAAAGGCCTTTTGTCAACATGCCGCTCTTTAGCTGGAATGGTTACAATAACCGATTCTACCGGTTGTCGAAAAGTTATTCTGTCATGAACCTTTCTTTTTTGGCCACGCTCCTCACTTGATGTCTGCTCCTCTTTGTTCTTACCCACCGATTTATGGACCTTGCACTGAGGGCAACACCCTTGCTGGATGAGGGCAATTTGAGCTTCTTGGAGCTGCCTTTCCAATTCTGCCACAGTTTTTTCCAATGGAATTGACTTTGGCTCTGCAACTGCCTTCCCTTTAGCCTTTGCTTCATCCAAGTTCACCTTTTTTCTAGGATGGTCAGCAGTGATACTAATTACATTGGTGCTGACCACGGTTGGAAAAGGATTCCCATCCACTCATATTGTATCACTTTTCTCTAGAAACTTCATCTTCCCTTCCTCGATTGCTTTCTGCACAATATTACGAAAAATAACACAATTATTAGTTGAATGTCTCCAAGAATTGTGATACTTACAATATTCTTTTCCAAGTAAATCGTTAGGAGTTGGGAGTTTATGCCCAGGAGTTAGGATTAGCTGTTTATCAGCCATCAGGAAGTCGAATATTTGCTCAGCCTTGGTAATGTCAAAGGAATATCCTTTGGTGGAATCAGGTATCCCTTTCTTATTTGAAGTGGAAGCGGCTTGGGCACTAATAG